TGAAAAAGTATTGGCAAAATAAAAATTTTTCAAAAATTTACAGATAAGTTTATAGATAGATGCAGTCTAAAGAGCTGATCGACAATACATAATCTGATAATTAAGTTTTATTGCAAAAGATGGAGTTTTTTCCAATGATATAACGCCATGAAAAATAAGTGAATCATCGATATTGAAGAAGTTGTCAGCAGTTTTTCTTTTTATTTAATTTCAACTATCTATTAAAACTAAAAGTGAAAATTTATGTATATGTAAATCGTTTAGTTCTACCCACACCTAGTAGGTAATGTAACATTCATTTGAACATTGATATAAGTAATAACAGTATCACAAACTGTATTTGTTACCCATATTTCTGAAAGGTCCAAGGAATAAAAACACGTGCCTAAATGCTATTTGCATTGGTTTATTTCATTTTTGTAGAACCAACATCAATAGATGAAGCAAAGTTTTCTTAAACTCTGTTGTAATTGAATAGTGTTCATTGAATTCTTTGTTTTTCTTAAAAACATCAATGCTAGTATAATAACTATGTCATATCAGCATTCAAAATTTTGTCTATTGATTTCTTATTTTCAACAATGCTCTTTGTAATTTTGATTTATGTGTAACAGTAGTTTTTATGTTACTAATGTCCGTTTCAAAATATAAGAGCCGTGACCATTTTTTCAATAAATTTTGATAAGAATAAGATAGTGTTGCGGTTTTCGCCATTAGAAAGAGAAGACTTAGACGCATCAATCCATGCTAAAATATGATTATAGTTAACATTGAACCAATCAGGTACAATCTCGATGAAGATGTTGAGCACCCCTGTCTGGAGACATTTTTCAACTTAGCCCTATTCGTTAATTTATATATTGATAGAAAAATTTTTTCTCTTTCGATCTACGAAAGGTCGTCCTTTCTAACTTGTTCCGTTCAAGAGTTATAAGCGTTTTCCTGAGACCCCTAAGTTCAGCCAATTGACCTCGGATCAAGCAGAAAGCCATCTAGGATGGGGTAATTCATCATGCTGAGTTGAATGATGATGTTTGTTTTTGGATTCTAAACCATCTTACGGTATTATCTCAATATTTCTGAAATGTGGACTCATGTGATACAGCGGTAGATGTTGTGAAATGTAGAAAACTCCTAAAGCACAGCGTAAGATAGTTTTGAATCCACAGACAAACATCACCATTCGACTCAGCATGATGAATTACCCCACCCTAGATGGTTTTCTGCTTGATCCGAGGTCAATTGGCTGAACTTAGGGGTCTCAGGAAAACGCTTATAACTCTTGAACGGAACAAGTTAGAAAGGTCTACCTTTCATAGATCGAAAGAGAAAAAATTTTTCTATCAATATATAAATTAATGAATAGGGCTAAGTTGAAAAATGTCTCCAGACAGGGGTGCTCAACATCTTCGTCGAGATTGTACCTGATTGGTCCAATGTTAACTAATCATATTTTAGCATGGATTGATGCGCCTAAATCTTCTCTATTTATGGCGAAAACCGCAACACTCTATCTGATTCTTATCAAAAGTTATTGAAAAAATGGTCGCGGCTCTTATATTTTGAAACGGACATTAGTATAGTGAAGAAAAAAGAACGCCAATTAAAATCGCGATCGAACTAAAAGGAGGGGGTCGATAAGTGATGAAATCGACCCCTGCCTAAATTCCTATTTTTGTTTATTAACAGCTCACTTTAGACCTTAGAAATTATTTATTATAAAAACCAGACCAATGGAATGCGTGTACACCGTACCTGGCCTTAATTATGTCTTGTACTCAGAGGCTAATATAAAGCCCTATTGGCCCATTTGGTACTAATAAAAGTGAATAGCGATTCCCCGACCGTTCCAAAAGCTAACCGACCGAGTCTATATACCATTCGATAGCTCTTTTCAAGTACTATCATGTGGTGCTAAAAGATCAAAAAAAATGACTGACCACTGTGGATCAGTACCATGACAATATCTAGGGGGTACCCTTATGCTGACTACTTTGGCCGACTTTCTAATATTAGGATCCAAGTTTCTTAAATACCCAGATAGTCCACTACCTTAATTTATATACCATTCGAAAGCTCTTTTCAAATGGTATCAGAAGATGCTAAAATATGAAGAAAAAATTATTAGTGGCTGTGATTTGTGAATGCTGCTATTTGGCGCTCGGGTTGATATGGAACATGGATGATTGACTTTCTGATATACGATCCTTCGATTTCGAACTATGGACCTACCAAATAGTCCCAACTTTCAGTGTAATAGATCGTGGTTTTGGAGACCTCTCTAATGATGGAGGAGTAATGGAAATGATATGAGAACTATTTGGTTGCCTTCATGAGAAATTGTTTCTGATTAATCTGTTAGTGTGCCTTTCAGGAGGCTCTTTTGTTTCTGTGTCTGAATCATGATTCCGAAGTGTTTGTTGATTATATAACAGAAAGTATTCAGTAAGCAATATTTCTAATGACCGATGTTTATTTTAATCGCGAACTGAATGAGGTTGAATTTAGATTGTAATGCATGATAGATATTTAATGCGGAAGATCATCGTAAGATATTTAGACTATTGAGGAAGTTGTATTTTTATTTAAAATGATTTAAAAATATTAATTAACATCGGCTTCATCATCCGTTTAATCACAAAAGTCTGATAATTGATTCACATCAGTTGCTAATTGAATAAAATCACCTGATGGTATATGACGAATTTGCAACTACCGTCGCTCGAAGCATAGAAACCAGACGGTGGAGACTATGTTACTGTAACAATCTATGAGAACATTTCCCATAGAACAATCGCACCACCAATCTAAGACCTCATCCGGTGAGAATTTAATCACCGGGTTGTATCTCGTCCGGTTAACATGAGTCGACCTAGTAGGCACTCGTGTGGGATTTGGAAACTCTTTACACCTGCAAAATATATAATTAACAGTTCCAGTAAGATCTGTCATTAATGTTTTTTCTTCGGCGTATGACCCAGCACGTTTTAGCTGGAATACATCGGTAATGCAACGAAAATAAAGACGCATCTTCTGATAGCATTTCAGTAGAGCTATCGAATGGAATATAAATCAAGGTGACGGACTATCTGGATACATGAGAAGCTTGGATCTCAATCTTAGAAAGTAGTCAACATATGGCACCCCGTCGATATTGTCACATTACTGACCCATAGTGGTCAGTAATTTTTTCTTGATATTTTAGTGTCTTCTAATAGTTTTTGAAAAGAGCTATCGAATGGGATATAAACCAAGGTGGTGAACTATCTGAATACATGAGAAACTTGGGTCCTAATATTAGAAAGTCGGCCAAAGTGGTCAGCATAAGGGTACCCCCTAGATATTGTCATGGTACTGATCCACAGTGGTCAGTCATTTTTTTTTATGTTTTAGCAACACATGATTTCATCGCTTATCGATTTCTCTCCTTTAGATTTCAATCTTATGAGAAAATCGCACCAGAAGGAAAATCGAATGTTTTTTGTGAAATTGGAGTCTGAAACACGATGTAGGTGTTACAACCATATATAATTCCACAATCTTATGAAATAGTGTTTCAAAAAGAATCAAACGAAGTTTTTGATAAATTCTCATTCCAGAGAACGAATAGAATACTTTATATTCATTGTTAGTTCAATTGTAAACAGTTCTAACTGTAGTCATAAATTAATCATCAGAAAATCCATTGTAGATTTTGAATTCTTCATTCACTTCTACTTGCAAGTCGACGACTTATATTTAGAGCACATAAAAAGAATACGGCATTAATCATGCCAAAAGCATTCTTTCTTATCATTAATATAGCAGTGCTTGTATTCACAGATGCATTTGCTGACCGAAAGGCTAATTTTAGTACGTATTGTTCTAGAATATGTTACACAATACAGTACACATTTTGTGTTATATTTTTCTAGACAGTGGTTATACATGTGTTCCTGGAACTTACATGGTAGAATTTGACCAAAGTGCTGGCATCAAAAATTTTCATCAGGCCATTACGAACCATCTGAAAAGGTTTCATGGAATTCCCGAATCAGCCGTCAGAATGCGCCAAACTGTTTCTACGTTGCTGTTTTCTGGAGCTTCGTTTTCGGTGAATACTGAGCATTCAATCGAAGTAATCAAGACCATCCCCAACGTTATTGCTGTTTACCCAGTTCATTCTGTTCCTGCTCCAAAACCTCTCATTAACAACAATCAGGAGAATCCTGTCATGGGACATGATTTAACAGGTGTTACACAGGTTCACGAAAAATTGAATAACTTTGGGAAAGGCGTCCGGGTAAGAATTTTAGAGAGAACTCGGCTTTCACTGTCCATTTATAGAAGAAAGAAAAACGATAAAATATGAAAGTGTACTTTTTCGAAAAGAAGATGAAAAGAATGGCTTCACTGTAGCTATCAAATTATTTGATGTCTTCTGATTTGCGGGAAAAGTTCTATGATATGCTCTTCCTAGCTAGAAAATATTCAAAAACTGTTTAACAAGATTCGAGATGTATTTTCAGAAGTATCTTTTTGTTACACCAATAAATATTTGAAAAATTTCAAAGAAACATTTGAGAATGCTAGTCAAAGCTGAATAAAATTTGAAGCGTAACTCTTTTTAATTAAAAATGATTTTCTAAAACAGAAGGAATGTCCAATCACATCTAACTCGCTGTTTCAAACATACAAATTTGACTCTTACTGATGAATACCGTCGATTAAGTTTCACTTAGTCCGTTTGAAAAAAGGCATTAATGAAACTCTAACGACCTCAACATCCTAACTGTAATAGTTGAAGTCAAAATGAGTAAGTATGCTATAATTACTCGACATTTCTTTCAACGACATAGATTTGATTGATAACATGTTTATACTATGTAGGTTGCTGTAATTGACACTGGTGTGAACTATTTACATCCTGCTCTGGGAGGATGTTTCGGAGCTCACTGCAAAGTTGCATTTGGCTATGGTAAAAAACAATTTTTAGTCTTACCACAACAGACACAAAGATAATGGTTAAAATGTTTCTAGATTTAGTTGGGGACCACTATAGTTTTACATCCAACCCAATTCAAGTACCTGACAACGATCCACTCGATAATTGTTCTTCTGACTCGCATGGTATTTATTCTTATGTTATTTACTATTTAAGGTTGTCCTGTAATGAGTTTTATGTTTATTTTAGGCACTCATGTTGCTGGAATCGTTGCTGCAAATGCCACAGGAATATCTCAAACTGGTTACATACCAGCTGTGCCCTTTCTTGGTGTCGCTCCTCAGGCAACTCTCGGCGCATGTTTGTTTTTCAGTTTTCTACTATTAATAACTCGTTTCAGTTCTTCTCCTTTCATGTTGCAGATCGTATCTTTGGATGTGCTAATGATGGTGTTACCACAGGTACATATGCATATAAATACAAAAATTTGCCATAATGCTATTTCTTGTCGATATTTTTTCTAGATATCGCAGCTGCAGCCATATATCGTGCTTTCGACGATAAAGCCGACATAAGTGAGTTGATATAACTGATTGCTTACCAAGAATTAAAAGGATCGGAGCAGAATATAAACTTTCATCATAAATACTTCTTGAGAGTCTCCGAAGTTTTTCTCAACAGCTTGAAATAAATTGCTTTTATTTGAGAAAGTCTTTTCATAACTTTCCAGTTTTGGTGCGTTTTATGATGGGGCAGCATATATAAGGTTAACATGTAAAAATAAATGTGACTCTGTTTACACCGTAGCAAAGAATAAAAAAAAACAGTGTCTGATTTGTTTCTACATTTTTTTCAATTCATATTCATATGATCTGAAAGATTGTCATGATTACCGCAACCTATTTGGAAAACTTCTGAAAAACTCAAAATTTACTATTATGAATAAAAAGATTTATTATCTGAGTGTATTGCACTTTGAATGCCAATGTCATCATCCTAGCTTGTTGTGAAATGCAGTCGTGGAAACAATTAGAATAGTGAGAGCACGATCACAATGGCTGATGCGATTATACTTGAACTATTATAAATGTAACGGAGATTTCGAATAATGCTGGATAAATCATAGTTTTTAGGCATGAAAATCAATAAACAGATAATCTTGTGATCATATCGATTAATATGACTTCTTTATATTTAGTCACGATGTCCTTTGGATACGCTGAGGAGTACACAGAGAACGTAGCGACAATCGCTGTTCAACGTGTATCAGACAGAGGAGGTAACTAATTTTGCTTCGATTTCAGGAATGTTCCCATGTTTCTAATTCTTCTTTAAGTCTATGTCACGTGTGCGCAAGGTAATGATGGTGCCCAAGGTGTTCAAACAGGCATTACTCCAGCTATTTCATTGGGTGCAATCGCAGTAGCTTCAGTAGACAGTTCACAATCAGTTGGGTACTACATAATAGCACCTGATGGTAAGACAATTTCCTATATTCCGGGCACTGCTTTTGGCGGTTGGCAATCCATTACAAATTCGACTATCGTCGTTAACGGTACATTGTCATTTCATTCACTATAATTAATGTTTTTTTTTTAATATAATGACTAGATCCTCAAGCCACAGTAAATGATGGGTGCAATGGTCTTGCAAAATCTGTTGTAGGCGTTGTTGTTCTGTTTAAGCGTAATATTGAGGATACATGTGGTACAGTACTTCGATGTGACACAGCAGCAGCAGCCGGTGCAACCGGCTGTCTTGTATACAATAGTCTTCCAGGGACAGGTTTCATTTTCTTAATTTCATTTCCTTGTGAATTTGAATTTGTCTTCAAGGATCATCATCTATTCCAAGTGGAATCATCACCTTAGACGATGGTCAACTCATTGTTGCAATAATAGCAGGAAATCCCTCAGCTGTATTTACATTCACCAATATAATTGCAATTCCATCAATCGTAAGTAGGCGTAGATCTGTTATTCTAGTCTTGAATGAAATAACATTAGTCTTAAGATCAATTCCTAAGCATCATAGGAAAAAAGTATACACTATTACCTAGAATCTAGTCAACTATATTTTCAACACTAAGCAGGTAGCATAATTGTTGAAGAGTAGTTCCTTTTTATTTTTGGGAATGTGGATAATGGATCGGCCTGGAAATACTGTAAGAAGTAGTTTATATCATTTGAAGAGCTTGTTGAATCTGGTTAATGTTATTTAAAGTTCATTCAGAATTAAAATAATTTTGCCCAAAATATTTTTCTTTTTTGACGTTATTCTACGTTTTCAACTATCCTCTAGAATATGCTATATTTAGCTGAAGTTTCAGAAATCGTTTTCCAATTTTATGAATCTTAGGAGACAATTTTTTTCAAATTAATCGTTGGAAAACAAATGAATTTAGCTGCTATAAAGCCAGTTGGGGAACAATGAGTGAAAATTTTCTGATCAAAAAGACAAGAATTTATAATTAAAACTATCTAGTATAAATAAAATAGACATGAATAATAATCATATGATGATATTTACGATTTTAAATTCAAAGTTTCTTTTCTTCTTTTCATTGACATTAAGGCGACTGGGGGAACACCTTCATTTTTCACATCGTTGGGCCCTACAGGTGATCTTTTATTCAAACCTCAAATCAGCGGTATTGGTGGCTATGTTTATTCAACCATTTCATCTTTCGCTGCCACAAAGCAAAAACAGCCAAACGCATATGCTGTCTACTCGGGTACAAGTATGGCTACTCCATATGTTGCTGGGTATGAATAAACTTGTGTTCATCACAGTGACATAGAACTTTATTTCATTTAAAGTATTATTTCAAATCTTTTCAGAGAACTGAGTCAGGTTTTTTCTGGACTGTTAGGAAAAAAGTCTCTTCAATTCACTGAATGACATACCTTTAATCAACCAAAGTTGATGAAAATTAAATAAAGTCATTCATTGACAGACATATAATATCTAGTTATTAGGTACCGTTAGGAACGAGAAAAGTCGTATGAAATCGGGCCGATGACATAAAACCAGTTATATCCCTGAATTCATAGCACATAAAATATCTTCAAGCAGAAAATCTTGCAAGAAAACAAAGTATAGGATTTTAATATCGCGGTTTTGTCAATGATTTATATAGTTTATTCCAGTTTTGAAAATGAGACTGAGTACTTTTTATAGCTTTGATGAGTTTTAAGCTATTTTTGCTCGATTCATTGAGAATGTTGAATTTATTTGCTATGAGAATGTTATTTAATTTCGATACAGTCAGTTTGATTTTCTGTTATTTTGAACTAGTTGAGATGCTGAAAGCTAAATTAAATTGTAGAGATTATGAAAACTAGTGGAAGTGAATTCAAACACTACACTATCATGAAAAGTCTAGTGCCAAAATTAGTTAAAACTGTGATATCATAAACTATATATTTCAGGATTGAAACTAAGTGTTGATAGTTGTATCTCGCGATATAGGCTTTCAATGAATGATTTATTTGCCATCGCAAAATAAGAAATGGCATTCTTTAGATAAAACAGTACCCATGTATCGAGAGATGGGGGTTTTTATTCTAATTATCACGAGAAATAGAAAAGTTATTTGGGCATTACTTGCTTAATGTCAATCATTATTTTTCGAGTAAGTCCTGTTCATTGATAACCACACTGAAAAAAATAAGTATCATACCGAACCTTTTTGGAAACGAATTCCAAACCCTCGAAGGAGTCTCATATAAATCTTTGATCTCTTCAAAGTGACTATCATCGATCGAAAAGTCATTTTTTAAATGTTCGGTAGGATGTTTTTAGGGCTTGCTACGAAATCTAAAAATTTTCAGAATTCGTTTCAAAACTCAAAACCTGTAAAGGTTTCGTATATTCTACGAAAAGTGCTGAGGTTTGATAATGTGACCAGTTTTTGTCGGTGTATCAAGTTTATTTTTTTGTCATTTGACAGCGTCGTTCAAATGACATTTTATCGTATGAAAATCACTGCGATAGAAAATATATTATGTAACTTTTTCAGAATAAATACCTATTTGAGACGTCATTCCTAGCAGTTTTAGAGAAATAGAGACTCACAATATTTAAGTGTTATTCGACTTGGTCCTTACTTCATCTATCCTATTTTTTAACGTATTTTGATGTTTGAATGAATGTATTGCAGATTTTTCATAGTAATGAAAAAGATTTGTCGTTTACGCTGAATGAAAGCCAGTTATAAATGGAGACATAAATTTTCGGTTATGCTCAACCTGCGAGTGCCATCACTTTTCAAGGCATCCGATTATATAAGTGCAATTATACGGACTAAGAAACATTTAATTGCTAGAAAAGTTTTTTTTGTCCAGCCGTCATAGATACCATTTGTAATAGAAAAAAAACAAAAAAATACGGAATAGTGTCGATGATAATAATGTTATTAGCTTATTTATTGTGATTTGTTTACTAATTCTAGTTAACTAGAATTTAATTACAATTAAACTAAGCCAATTTCCTAAAGTGGAAAAAAAGCTTGTCAGCGCAGCTCCTTTGGAGCTGAAATGTGGAACTCACGTATATCCTTTCAATTTGTTATTCTACTGCATTATTTGTAAACTAAAACATACTATTTTTTCAAATAATTATGAATGCATTAGAATACTGTATAGAATCTGAAACCTTTTGTGCGCGGTTGTTGACGTCTGTAATGGTGCCCTGTCTGTAATGGGGGGTGTCTGTAATGGGGGGG